GCGAACCCATCAACTTATTTCATGCATAAAACAAACTGTTAAGGAGCCTTGAGTTTACTGGCGTTTAACTAATTGGTGCAGTTATTATCAACCCACATCGATAATTTTAATCGCAGATCAAAATTGCAGAGGTCGGCGATACCCACTAGCAACGAGTCGATGGCAATCCTTGAGAATGCAGTTGCTATCAGACTATTGGAACCGGTAAAGGAACACACAAACAGTTGCGTATTTAGGGGGAGAGTCCTCCAAAAATGCTCAAAATTCATCTCAGGCTATCTGAAATTTTTTTTCATTTCCGGCCTCGAGAGGCATTTTTCTAAAATACGTCTCTGTTCACAAATAAACAATAGGTACCAGTTCCAGGACACAGAAGTCTTATTACATTCAGCTTTAACCTTTTAATGAACTGTCTCCGTGTCAAAACGTTTGAACAGCAACTCGAGACCAAGGCTCATTGATTGGAAGACTTTAACGAGGCTAGAATCCTGTATGCTGTCAATCAAATAAATTCTCAAGATTGATAAGCTAATGAACGACTCAGCCAACTTCTTTCATCATTCTAGAAAATCAACTACCTCATGTATTGGAACAATTAGATGGTCGTGAAACTTGTATGATGAAGAATGACAAGTCTAAAGCTGATCTCAATCAGAAATCCACATGTTGTTGATTATTGTTCGCTTTTCATGTATTTTATTAGTATTAAAATTACCGATGTCACGTAAAATGGAATAATAAGGCTTAAAACAGAATTATAAAGATAAATATTGATAAGAGCTCAAGGATATAATATTTTCATCACGACTATTCGTTTTGGAATTGAAGGTACATTTCAATCAATTTCAAAATTCAAGACTCAAGTTGGGCAAAGATCGACCAGTTGTCTAGCAAAAATTTACATCTGCCGAATTTGCATTGATTGTCGGCATCGTGAGGCAACTGATCAATTGCAGTCCATCTGAAGTCAACGACGAATACAAAATAGCAGGTACTCATACGTTCTATTATATACCGAATCTTGAGAGATTCTCTTCGATATCTGCCCATGCTGGAAGCCAAAGTTGTAATTTACCAACCAACCAATCAAACTATCTGCGCGGTCGAAATCGGAGACCATGTAGTTCATCGCGGGTTACAAAAGACTACTGATCCGAAAAGGTGTTATTCAGCTTAAGTCCACCTTCCATACACGATGGTTAATAATAAATATCATCTACTTAACGAGCCTCTACATAACAGAAAATTCATTAATTACAGAACTTGAAAGAATGTCAAATTAAATTTATGATTTTGATGTTGTTGAGCTAATTAGTGAATCCATGGTTAATGATTTTTTATGGTATTCAAACAAAATTCAAG